GAATGTGTCCAACATGGAACATAACTCCAATATGGAGAGGCCTCTTTAGGTTATTGTGCTACATTTGAAAACACACCTCTTTAATTTAGCATTTAATGAAAATTCTATCTCTCTTTTTGTATCTGTGTTTTTAATTTGATGTGTCGCGGTTTTAAATGATTTGAAATTAATATTCATACTTTCTTCTATCGCTGTAAAGCACTTTGAGCTGCCGCCTGTGTGAAAAGTGCTTTATAAATAAAGATATTATGACTCTAGTTATTATAAACCAACATTGACCAGCTTAGGCAGCTTGGGCTAGCTAGCATAATTGCTAAAGCAGCTGTTGGAGCCAGGTTTGAAATTTCTTAATTTTTGGAATGCCTGACCCTCAAAAACATTGGGACAGAGGCATGTTTACCACTGTGTTACATCATCTTTCCTTTTAATTACACTTTTTAATAGTTGGGGAACTGAAAATACTAATTGGTGCTGTTTTTTAAGTGGAATTTTGGCCCATGGTCGCCATTGTCTGATTCTCTTTTCATGATGCACCATGCATTTTCTATAGGAGACAGATCTGGACTGCAGGCAGGCCAGTCAAGCACAGGCACTCTATGTACGAAGCCACATTGTTGTAGCATGTGCAGAATGAGGCCCGGCATTGTCTTGCTGAAATAGCCATGGATTTCCCCAGAAAAGATGTCATCTTGATGGCAGCATATGTCTCTAAAATCCCAATATATGCCTCCATTTCTAAGGTTCCTTCCACAGATGCACCCTAATACCATGATAGATGTTGGCTTTTGCCCCTTTTGCTGATAAACGTCTTAGTGGTCCCTTTAGTCTTTGGCATGGAAAACTCGACATCCCTTTTTTCCCAAAAATAAGCTAAACTCATCTGCATTCATCTGACCACAGCACACATTTCCACTGTCTTTCAGACCATCTGAGATGAGCTTGGGCCCAAAGAACTCGGCAGCGTTTCTGCATAGAACTAATGTATGGCTTTCTCCGTGTGTATTAGAGTCTCAAGTTGCATTTCTTGATGCAGCAGCGGCTCTGTTAAGTGACAACAGTTTTCCAAAGTACTGCCAAGCCCATGTAGCCATATTTTTGTATGTTTATATTTATAAAATATTACATTAGTCAGCACAAACATTAAAAGTCATTTTTTTGTACTGTTTGTTAAATAAAAGTTCAAGACAAATGAAAAATTACAGACTTCAAGTTCGTTCCTTTAATCATCGCATTTACTAATATGAAAGGATTTGTGCTGTACTGAAGCTATGAGGCTAATGAAGGTAATGACAGCTTTTCCTCAATAATTAGAATTGTGGCTTTTGGTTTCTGACATTAAAACAGTGGTTAAGTAAATAGTCAAATCAGCGCAGCTCCCCTCCTTAACAGTGCGTCATACAGTGTCAGAAACCACATAAGCAAGACTGTTTGAGATTGTTTGTCCTCAGATTACTTCAATTATGCAAATATGATTGTTGGTTATTAAGCATTAGGATCTGGTAAAGCTCATCCAGGATCAGTGATCTGCATGTGAGTGGCGCTTGGGCCCCGACCAGCCCGAAAGCCTGCTAAAAGGCTACCGTGCGCAGGAACGCTGGGTAAAGTTGCGACCCGCCGTGTCACTCGAGAAGGTTTTTCGCTCGGGTTGAAATAGCGTTGGGGTCAGTGCGTTTTTGTGTTCCCCACAGTACAGGCCTTTTAACGGCATGGGTGTCCATTAAAGAGGTGAGTAAGAAAAACGGAGAGAGAGAGGGAGCGAGAGAGAGAGATTGGGAGTAGCTGAAGCGTGAAATGGACAGTCTTTAACAGTGCATTCACTACACTGACTCTTGGGGCTTTTTTGGCATGAACTGTTGGAATTTTTGCCTTTTTTGGAGACACGTGGACGTTTGTAGCAACTTAATTTTTGTCCTGGCAAAAAAGACAAAGAACATCACTTCCTCTACAGACTCTACTCTTCTGCACACTTTAATGCACAATTATTACTTATTTGCTGAATTTGACAAAATGAAAATTTTGGCACATTTTAAATTGTTTAATGTTAAATGATTAAGTTTACTTTTATGTTTAACAGTTCTGCCCACTGATGGACTGGCAACTTATCCAGGTGTTTCCTGCTTTCTGCCCCATTATGGCCAGGATATATATATAGGATGTGTTAACTCCTTAAATGGCATTGAAGTCCCTGTAGTTACTGAATAATAAACATTAGTATATAATAAGCCTGTGACTTATTTTCTCTTTGAAAACCAACCAAAACGTATAATTTGACCAGATGTGCACAAACTTTTGCATATGATTAGAATCTCTCTCTTTTTTGTGAACATGGACTCCAGGAATTGTTTTCTTTTTTGTACATAAAGGCATATGTGTAGTAAACTTTACATTCCAAAAAAACATAGAACTCTTGTGATTTTTCTTTTTGTAGACACTTGGCAACAAAATTTTTGTGCCAAAAAAACTCTGAAATTTTCCCTTTTTCTAGTAGACATGTGACCGTTTGTAGTCCCTAAACTTTAAGTTCCAACAAAATGTATAATTCTTGAATTTTTCTCTTTTTTTATAGAAATGTAGATGTCAAGATAAAATTGTCTGTTTTTCACAGATACATACGTGTCTCAACTTTTTGTCAAAAGGAAATTCAATTCTTGGATTTTTTTCTTTCTGTAGATCTAAACTTCTTGTCCCAGGAAAACATTTTTCTTCTCATTTCTTGGAGACACAAGAAAGTTTGGAATAACTTCATTTTTGCCCTAGAAGAAAATGTAATAAGGCATGTGAAGAGTTTCTAAATGCATGGATTTTTTGTGGCGATGAAATTCTTTGTCCCAGTAAAATGTACAACTGTTTTTTTCTTTTTAGTACACACTTTGAAATGAAATTGAAATGAAATTAAATATTTTTGTAGTTCCTAAAGTTTATGTTCCAGCAAAATGTATAATTTTTTGATTTTTGGAAATTTTTGGATTTTCTTTTGGACATGTGGAGATTTGTATTGAATCACGTTTTTTACTGCAAATATGTAATTCTTTATTATTTTTTTCTCTTTATTTGTAGACCTGTTGATTATAAAGACTACATTTTTGATCCCACAAAAGCTACAATTTCTGGATTCTTCTTCTTCTTCTTCTTCCTGGATTTTTTATTGTCTGGGAAAGTTTGTAGGTACTAGCAAAATGTATTACTTTTTTTGTAGACTCATGTATGTTTTTGATTTGTATTAAAACGTTTTGGGATTCTCCACAGATTTTTTATAAACTTTTGGAAGTTTACTTTGCAGCTAATCTTTTGTCCCAAAAGAAAAGGTATACAAAGCGTTTTTTTTTTCTCTCTCTTTTTTGTAAGAACTCTTGAAGTTTTCTCTTTTTTGGAGAAAAAAAAGTAAAAATGGCTCATCAGCTCAACCTAAAAGTATTCATGTAGTAACAAGCAACTGAACTAGTTTTATTCACGTCAAAAAATTACATTGATTGAAAAAATCATTCATTCAAAGTGTTTACATTTCCAGCATTTGGCAGACGCTCTCATCCAGAGTGACTGACAGTTTGATCATTTTACACAGGTAGGCGAAGGTGGTGTTAGGAGTCTTGCCCAAGGACTCTTATTGGTATAGTGTAGGATGCTTACCCAGGCAGGGGACTGAACCCCAGTCTACAGCATAGAAGGCAGAGGTGTTACCCCACTACACTATACCCACCACAAGCAAAGTATTGATTTAGGTTGAATAAAACTTACTAATTTACATGAAGTTATTGTTTAAGTCGAAATGTTGAGTCATTTTTACAGTGTAGACATGTTTGCAATAACTAAACTTTTTTTCCCCCAGCAAAACGTACAACTTTTGGAGTTTTCCTCTGTTTTATACACCCATGGATGTTTGTGGGGACTAAATTCTTTGTCTTGGTAAAATGTTTTTTTTTTCTGTAAATAAATAAATGTAATGACTAAACCTATAAACCGTCTCGCTTTACTGTTAAGGCCTAATTTGTTCACCATAAATCAGTTTCAGTTTGTAACCAGTTAAGCAAATGGACGTATAAACCTGTCCTCCTTACTTAATGTCAAGCGTCCTTTTCTCTCTAATCAGATATTCAATAGCCTTTCACCTCTGACCAGTGACCTTTTGTGCTGAAGAAAGGAGAGACAGAACCATGTGAAATCCTTTATCGAACTGTTTAATTCCCAAATGAACTCCAGAACATTCTGTGAAGACCTTGCTTCGTGACATAAGGAAAAGAAAAGCATGGATGACCGAGCATGTGTGTGGACATGGAAACAATCCCATAGGAAAATACGTTCTTCAGTAGTGCTGTCATATCATAGCTCATTGTCTATAGCAGTAGAAAATAAATCCCTCACGACTTCCTTTTTTACATCTCATATATAGCTGTAAAAATATACTTTCAAAATAAATAAATATATAAAATAAATATATGTTTGGGTTTTTAAGCATAAATTATGGACTAAAAAAAAAGAAAGGTTTGGTAGTTTAGTCTCTGTATTTGTTCGTTGCCAGTGTTTGAGCAGAATAACGTCAGAACAGCATGGAATTCCTTCAGAAGCTTTCGGTATCAGTTCAGTCTCCCATTACTAAGCAAGCAGTTCTGACCGGTGGGTCTTTTTCTTGATGCCAAAGCTCCACACAACCAGGACCAAGGACCAAGGACCAAAACATTCCTGGGTCCACTGTCCTTCTTTTTGAGGAAACTTCTCGACGTAGCTGGCATCTTCGCCTTGCCAATCCCTGCCAATCAAGATATCCATTGGTCAACCTGGTTTCAGTGGTCATTTTGTTCTTTAAATTTGATGTTAAGCCCTCGTTGGTCCCAAGTTAAACCACTTAGTGCTCTCTTGCTCCTGCCTTCGGCCCCCCGAAGGTAAGTGAGGGGTATTTCCTGGAGGGACAAGCCTCCAGACACTTCCTTCTTCTGGAGCGACCATGTAGGGCCCTAGAAGTAGAAGCGCTGTTATGTGCGTAGGTCCGGTCAGCAGACTTTGCGTCAGCTGTGGCCCAGAACCTCCTTGTAAAGCTCGGGCACCCGCTCCGGATCCACAGGCCGGGGTAGGAAGTGCGTGAAGCGCTGGTGCCTCCGAGATCGGGTGCCATCCCTCGACGTCCCGTCTTTGTTGAGTGCGACGAAGTAGTGCGGCCCTCGCTCTCCGTGCTTGTAGAGGTTGGACGCGTAAGTGTTGTACCAGTTCTCCTCGAACTGCTCCCGGAAGATGCACTCAGCCGTCAGCTTCTCCTGCAAAGAGGAAAATAAACAGAGAAAAGATTAGCAAACTGACAAAACACAAAGCACCATATCAATGTATTCTTATGCTGGCCCCCTGCTGGCTGCTGCAGGTAATTACACCATACTGCCAGCTTGACAAAAGCTCAATTAAGCCATGAATCAAAGTAATAGCCATATTATCCTGATGGGTTGCCTGGCACCCTGCCAGCTGCCGGTGTGGGGGGGTGTAGCTGAGATTCAACAATAAGAGCCGGAGCTTGAGAAAACTTACCGAGCCGTACAGCTGCCCTTTGCTGTCCATGCCCAAGTATAGGCCGCTGTCCACACCACGGATGCTGACCAGTCCTACGGCGAGGCTGATGAACTCCAGGATGCCTGCAAGGGGAGAAGCAGTCAGTTAGTTTTCTGGTCATATGAGGCAAAATGACAACAATTAAAGTGATTGCAAAATAATGACCTTGCTGACCTCATATTAATAATTATTATATAGCAATTATAGTACTACTAATAATACTAATAATGCTATTAATCATTTCTATATTATAAAATCATACGTAACCACTAGTACTACTACTAATAATAACAACAAACGTAATGAGAATTATGAAGTCTTTCATCTTATGTAAGACTAATATGAAAACTAATACTACTACTAATAATAATAATAATAATAATGATGATGATGATGATGATGATGATGATACGGGATGGTCTCAATCCTGCATTAGACAGTCCAAACATAGGTAACTGAAGAACATACGGACTATTAAATTAAGAGTTGCAATACTGCTACTACTAATATTAATACTAATATTAGTGATAATTATGATAATAATTTGCATTTTATATAAAATAGATCAAATCAAAGCTGCTGATAATAATACTAAAAATAATAGTTTCCATCTTATATAAGATCTTATATGAAAATTTGACACACTATTAAATCAAGAGTTGTAGTACTATTACTACTAATGCTAATACGTAATACTAATACTAATATTAGTACTAATACTACTAATAATAATGCTAACATGTTCCATCAAACATAAGATAGATCATGTGAAAGCTACTACTATGGCTAATACTACTACTATTACAATCTATAATAATAATAATATTATTATTATTATTATTATTAATAATAATAATAATAATAATAATAATAGTGACAGTGCAAATTAAAGTAACTGGAGAACCTGACAACAACCTACTAAATAAAAAGAACTAATAATAAACCAATAATAAATACTAAATACTAATATTAATAATAATACTGACACTAATAATGCTAATAATAAATATGATAGATCAAGTAAAAGCTACTGTATGGCTACTACTACTACTACTACTAATAATAATAGTGATATTAGTGATAATAATGGGGGTCCTCCTTACCGAACCTGCTGTGGTCCTGTCTCGTGCCCTGCACTGTCCCGTCCGGCAGGATCTGCAGATGATGTCCGGTCCTGCAGTAAAGCTGTCTGCGCCTCAGCGCGCCCTTCAGCAGCGCGAGGTCAGGGGCGGCGCTGCGCGAGAGCCGCTCCGCTGACACCAGCTGCTGCTGCTGGTGCTGCGCGAGAGCGAAGTGCGCGCCGCCGTGTGCGAGACTCTGCACGCCGTGCGTCTGCGGGAAACCCACCGCTCCCATCACCGCTGCGGCGCGAGGACGAGGAAGAGGAGGAGGACTGAAGATAAATAAACAGAGTGGAGTAAAGTTAGCGCGTGCTGAGGTGTTAGCAGAACCCCTGTGTCTCGTGCTCTTGCTGAGCTGTGTCCAACAGCGCTGCTCGTGCGCCTCTGAAGGATACTGGGGGCTCCTCTCGCGCTTAAGTACGGTCCATATGTAAATGTCCTCTTGACGTATGCAAATGAGCTCCTTCACAGACAGATCCCTCTGTTCTTTCTTTCTGTTGCGTCGTCTTTTTTCTTTTGAACCATTAACTCCGTTTGATCCTCCTTCGCGCCTCCTTTGATGATGATTTGTTTGGTCTCATCTCCAGCTCGCGAGAGCTTAGAGTGGAGCTAAAGTAAACAGAGAGGAGCGGCGCGAGACCAAAGGTGAGGTCAAAATAATAAAGATATGAATGTTTGTAAAATAATAAGCGGTGCGGGATGTTTTATAGGCTTTTATAGTGCAGAGCTGCTGCTGTTTTTGTTGTTTATTGTAGGCTTGAGCTCGCGGCGTGTGCGCGTGTAAGCTCCGCTCTCAGCGGCGCGCGGGTGAGTAAGTGTGGGGGGCGAAAAGGAGGCAGGTGGAACCCAAGGAAGAGGAAAAGAGAGGGAGGAGGAGCTTAGAGAGAGAGAGAGAGAGAGAGAGAGAGAGAGAGAGAGAGAGAGAGAGAGAGAGAAACAGATGAGAGAGAGAGGAGAGGAGTTAGAAAGAGAGAAAGACCTGAGGAGAAGGGGAGAAGAAGAAGAGATGCAGGTGTCAGCAGAGATGGAAAGACTGAGAAAGGAAGGGAGAGATAGAAAAGAGGAAGAGAGGAGAGGAAGAGACAGAAAGGAATGTAGAGAGAGAAAGAAAGAAATATATATAAAAGGGATTGAGACAGAGAAAGGAAAGAGGGATGGAGTGATAGAGGGATAAAGAGAAAAAAGAGAGGCAGAAGAAATGAAGAGATTAGAGCTGAGAAATATTTAGTTCTATTCAGTTCTTTTTAGAGATATTCAGTTCTATATTGAGTTCTATGGAGAAATGTTCAGTTCTATATTCATTCTATTTAGAGATGTTCAGTTCTATTCAGTTCTATATTCAGTTCTATTGAGAAATGTTCAGTTCTATATTCATTCTATTTAGAGATATTCAGTTCTATATTCAGTTCTAATGAAAGATATTCAGTTCTGTATTTAGTTCTATTGAGTGATATTCAATCCTAAATTTAGTTCTACTGAAGGATATTCAGTTCTGATTAGTTCTGTATTCACTATTATTAAGAAATATTCAGTTCTATATCCATTTTATTTACAGATATTCAGTTAAATTCAGTTCTATATTCAGTTCTACTGAGAGATTTTCAGTTCTATACTTATTCTATTTAAAGATAATCAGTTCTATTCAGTTTTATATTCAGTCCTACTGAGAGATATTCAATTCTATTAAAAATATTCAGTGCTATATTCATTCTATTTAGTGATATTCAGTTCTGTATTCAGTTCTTTTGAGAAATATGTAGTTCTATATTCAGTTCTATATTTATTCTATTTAGAGATAATCAGTTCTGTTCAGTTCTGCATTCAGTTCTATTGAGAGACATTCAGTTCTATATTCATTCTGTTTAGAGGTATTCAGTTTTATTCAGTTCTATATTCAGTATTATTAAGAAATATTCAGTTCTATATCCATTCTATTTAGAGATATTCAGTTTTATTCAGTTCTATATTCATTTTATTTAGAGGTATTCAGTTTTATTCAGTTCTATATTCAGTATTATTAAGAAATATTCAGTTCTATATCCATTCTATTTAGAGATATTCAGTTTTATTCAGTTCTATATTCATTTTATTTAGAGGTATTTAGTTTTATTCAGTTCTATATTCATTTTATTTAGAGGTATTCAGTTTTCTTCAGTTCTATATTCAGTATTATTGAGAAATATTCAGTTCTATATCCATTCTATTTACAGATATTGAGTCTTATTCAGTTCTATATCCATTCTTTTTAGAGATATTCAGTTTTATTCAGTTCTATATTCATTTTATTTAGAGGTATTTAGTTTTATTCAGTTCTATATTCATTTTATTTAGAGGTATTTAGTTTTATTCAGTTCTATATTCAGTATTATTAAGAAATATTCAGTTCTATATTCATTCTATTTAAAGATATTCAGTTCTATATTTAGTTCTATTTAAAGATATTCAGTTCTATATTAAGTCCCACTCAGAGATCTATCACTCTGGTTTCCCTTCTATCTGTTTATTTTATGATTTTTATTTCTCACATGCAGGTGCTGATTTATGTTTATACTTATCCAGCTGTTCAATAAAGTGTGCAGCCTTTTAAGAGCACATCTGTACTTCCCTCATCATCTCTGAACCCTTTAAACACCTTCAATAAAGAAATCAAAGGGCGGCAGATCAAAGGTGAGAAAGTTTAGAGCACTTAAGAAGAGCCTTTGACACAAAAACACAGAAACACTTTGATGCTGCACTATTAAAGGCTTTTTTCCTTTTTGTTGTTCTTATAACTTTTCCTCCTTTTAACTGCTCTGATTGTCCTCTATAGTTCGGTGGATCCATATCTGCTGGTTTTGTGTTGGTGACTGTAAGTGCAGTTTCACTCCATTCAGTACTTTGACTCATCAATGTCCATCTGTCAAACAATGTCCTTTGGTCCATGTTCTCTGAACTTGCCTCAACACACATCAATCAAACCATACAGCTACAAAGTGAGTTTTATTAATTAATACATCATATTAACCCATTCATGTCCAAGAACTAAAGTTAGCATGACTTGCATGAAGGAGAAGTGCCACAGAATTTGTTCTGATTGGTACAAAGTGATGAAATTTGGCAGAGTCGTACATTAGATGAACCTCTATCAGTCCACATTTGAATATTTAAAATTACTTCTCATTCTGATACTTTTATTCACAATCAAATGTGGAAGATATCAGTTATGGACATTAATGGGCTCAGGCTTTCAGTCACTGAAGACTTGATTGTAAATAAAAGCATGAATATGACATATAATCAAAAAATCCAAATGGACTCTGTTAGATGTTCACCTTAGCTATAACCACACCAAATTTCATCTCTTTAGACCAATCAGAACGAGATCTGTGGCATTTTTCTGATCCCACTAAGAGCTGGACTTGAATGGGTTAATATAGCAGCTAGGACCTAATCATGTATTTGTGAATGAATACTGAATGAAAGGCGTCCAGTCTTCATATGAAAAGTGTAGTAACTGACCGATGAGCCCGTTTATGTCACTCTCAGAGCAGCACAGCTTACAGAACTGAGTCAGCAGGTCAGCAGTGCTGAGTCTGGACAGTGAAGGGTTAAACTGATCTTTAATTAAGTTAACGCGAAGCCGTTAAATGAGCCAGATCAGCTGCACGCGCGACCCAGTCATGGCTCATTTCTGTTTTTGCCCCTCCCACCACGTTAAACCCCCCCCAGAACAAAAAATATGCTGAATAAAACCGAACGGATCGATAAACTCAGTAGAGACGTCACTCACCTGTCAGCGCGCGACACGGCTGAGCAGCGAAGACCATTTATTTATGTATTTATTACCAATAACTGCTCATTGGCGATTCATCAATCAATCTATCTATCTATCTATCTATCTATCTATCTATCTATCTATCGATCTATCAAACTATCTATCTATCGATCTATCTATCTATCTATCTATCTATCTATCTATTTGTTTATTTGTTTATTTATTTATTTATTTATTTAAAAGACACTTATTTACCCATTTGTTTGTTTGTTTAGGCTGTTCATTCCGTAATTTAAGTAATTTGAGTCTTTTGATTCATTTCCATGTTTTGTTTACTCAGTATTGGTATTTAATAATTGGCTTTTAGTTTCCTTTATTTATTTATTGTTATTTATTTTTTTATTCAGCCTATTTAACTTGTTAGAACGTGACGTATTTCTTTATTTATCTATCAGTGTACTTATTTATTTATCTCTCAGACTGTTTATTTATTTATTTATTTACTTATTTTCATTTAGAACAAATTCAATTGTTTGTTTTTTTTGGCATGTCAGCATATGTATTTATTTATTTATTTATTGTTATTTATTTAACATTTATTTATTTTAGTTTATTAAAGACACTTATTTACCTGTTTGTTTATTTGTTTAGGTTATTCATGTAGCTATTTAAGTAATCTGAGTCATTTGGTTCCTTTTGTACGTTTTGTTTATTCCGTATATTTGTTTATTTGTTGATTTTTAGTCTCCTTTACTAAATTGTTATTAATTATTGTTATTACATTTTTATTTAGCCTATTTAACTTCTTAAAATTTGACGTATTTTTATCTATTTACTTATTTATATAGCTATTTATTAAGACACTTGTTTACCTAGCTGTTTGTATATTTAGGCTATTTATTTAGCCTAATAATTCAGGCTTTATTGATTGATTTCAGTTTCTTTCTTTCTTTCTTTCTTTCTTTCTTTCTTTCTTTGTTTACAGTTCAGCACTTGTTTATTCAGGCTAATTATTCGGTTGGAGCTCTGTTTTATTTCTTAACGTGTTTATTTGTTTGTTTGTTGATTAGTGCGCTGTTAGAGACTGTGTTGAGAGATCAGACGTTCTTTGTTGTCGTTTTGTTTTGTTTATTGTTTGTGTTCAAAGGCTGGACTCGTTTTGAAACTGAGAACAAAGCCGGAAATCAGAGGAGTCTTTCTGAGTGTTGTTGAGTTTCAATAAACGACCATCTGACACAGAAACCCGATCAGACACGCGCACAGCTGTTCCAGCTGTTACAGGGACAGCCTGATTCACTCACTGAGCCTTATTCGCACCTTATATAATAAAGCATCCATATTCTGTGGGCTCGTGCGCTATTAGATTGCGTCCACAACCGCATATTATTATTATAATACTGTACATGCTGCACTAATGAATGACTCCTAATGGCGGTGCCCTACACTCTTCAAAAGATGGTTCTTCAAGGGTTCTCCAATTAACCATTGTTCTACATAGAACCATTCGCATGCTTAAATGGCTCTTTGCATGTTGAAATGGTTCTTCAGATTGATGGAGAACGTGTTGTATATGGTTCTACATAGAACCTTTTTGAAAATGGTTCTTGATAGAACCAAAAGGGTTCTGCTATAGTTACGACGTCAAGCTTTTCAGTTTAAAAATGTTCTCTATCAATCTGAAGAACCGTTTCTCCATGCAAAGAACCATTTAAGCATGCACATGGCTCTATATAGAACTCGTGGTTCTAAATAGAACCGTTGTCTTTATTAAAGAACCCATAGAGAACCGTCTGTATGGCAATACGTGGTTTTGGCCGTGCGTGTTTAATTCTTCCCAGTCAGCTGTTCAAACCTCGCGCTCTGCTGAGGACGTGAGCGCGCACATCTCGCGAGGTTGCGCGGGAGCGCGCGCAGCCACAGCAGCAGCAGCAGCGGTGGAATCATGGCGGCCCTGCGCGGAGCTCGAGCTCTGTGGAGCAGAGTGACGGGCAGCGCGAGCGCGTGCAGAGGCAGACTAGGGGGCAGACTGAGGGCGGGCGCGTGCCTCGGGGCAGCGGCGGGAGCGCTTTACTTTTGGTACCAGTGGGGAGCGCGCGGGGCGACAGAGCCACAACACCGGGGGGGACTGAGCCTACTTCCGGCCCTGCGCGCGCGGGGACACGACAAGGAGGAGGAGGAGGAGGAGGAGGAGGAGGTGAGAGCACGGGCACGCGCACTGCCCATAACGCCACGTGCACAAATATACATACACAAATGAAGCAGCTGTCGTTGTTATTGTTATCAACACCACCAGACACAAAACTGAGCTGTTCTACTTTCACACAGTTATCATTATTATGAGTTACTGCTGTTATTATATTAACCTATTATTATTGATTAATTATTATAAATTCACAAACATAGACGTGAACTATTGGGCTTAAACTGACGGATTGTTGTTTTGCTTTGACGTTGTTGCTTTTATTTTTTTTACTTGGTTGGTTATTATTTATAATAATACTAATTATATAGTCATAATAATTAAGTATATTATTATTATGAAAAAATGGTTATTGTATTCTTCTTGTACTTATTATATAAGTATCTTAGATCATCTTTATTAATACTACTAGTAATAAAAATAATTATAATAATGTAATTACAACATAATGCATTATTGGTAGTAGTAGTTCTTGCATTAATAACAACTGTAATTTTTATTATGACCAGTGTATTCATTATTTTAATATTAGTGTCAATTTATGAATGATTAATTATTTAGTAAAAGTGACTCCAATCAAACAAATCCCTTATGTTCATTAGGAAAATCGTCATCTGTTCAGAGAGGAAGTGGACAGGGACAGTGGACCATAGTAGTGGACAGTGAAAGTGATAGAGGACCCCCTTATTTATACATAGGAGCTGCTGTAGAATAAGAATTTCATTGTATTCATTGTATTCTAGTGAAGAGGACATTGAGAGTGGACACCGACAGTAATAGTGATGAGGCAGTGACAGTGGACAGTGAGAGCAGACACTGACAGTAATAGTGACAAGGGCAGTGATAGTGAAGAGGACAGTGATAGTGGACAGTGAGAGCGGACACTGACAGTAATAGTGATGAGGCAGTGACAGTGGACAGTGAGAGCAGACACTGACAGTAATAGTGACAAGGGCAGTGATAGTGAAGAGGACAGTGATAGTGGACAGTGGGAGCGGACACTGACAGTAATAGTGACAAGGGCAATGACAGTAAAGAGGACAGCGATAGTGGACAGTGAGAGCGGACACTGACAGTAATAGTTACGAGGACAGTGATAGTGAAGAGGACAGTGATAGTGGATTTTGGTAGCAGACAGTCGGAGTAGACAGTGATAGTGGACAATGGAAGTGACAGTGATAGTGGACTTTGGTAGTGGACAGTGGACAATGTTAGCGACAGTGAATAGTGGACAGTGGACAATGGTAGTGACAGTGGATAGTGAAAAGGACAGCGACAGCGGACTTGGAGAGGACAGTGATAGTGGAGTTTGGTAGTGAACAGTGACAGAGAAAGTGAAGATGACAGTTATAGTGGACAGTGGTAGTTGAAGTGACTGTGAAGAGGACAGTGATGCTGGACTTTTGTAGTGGACAGTGAGAGTGAACAGTGGTAGTAGACAGTGATAGTGAAGTGGACAGTGAGAGCGAACACTGACAGTAATAGTGACAAGGCAGTGATAGTGGACAGTGAGAGTGGACACTGACAGTAATAGTTACAAGGGCATAGTGGTCAGTGATAGTAGTGAGAGCGAGAGTGAACAGTGACAGTGGACTATGACAATAATAGTGGACAGTGATAGTGGAGTATGACTATGACATATGGGACAGTGACAGTGAAAAGGACTGCGACAGTGAACTGTTACTGTGGACAGTGATAGTGAAGAGGACTGTGATAGTGGACAGTGACCGTGAAAAGGACTGTTACAGTAGACTGTGATAGTGAACAGTGATTGTGAAGAGGATAGTGACGATGGACTACAACAGTACTAGTGGACAGTGACAGTGAAGAGTGATAGTTTGAGTATGACAACAAAAGTGGACAGTGATAGTGATAGTGAAAAGGACAGAGACATTTTGGGGGAAATTGCCTTGAGAGCAAATAATGCTGCAGCTATTTTAGTGCATTATTTCCTCTTTTGGCAGGCGTCCAAGCACCTCCCGGTCAGCCTTTTCCTCTCGACAGTGTCACATTTGTTTTTCACTGCAGGCTAAATTAGACGAAGCTTGTAGCAGGAAGGTGCAAGAGTTTCTTTTATGATCTTTTGTGACGGTAGCTACTAGACTGTGGCTAATATTGACCGTCTAAAGTGAAGGAAGATGCAAATTAGCCATCTGACCAGTCCCAGTGAGTTTTACCCTGTGTGCTTTGGCCATCCAAACCCATCAGAGTTTCAGATGAGTTTGTTTGGGCATTTTGAATAATCAAGATATTCATGTAATCCAGTAAAAGTCAGTTTTTTCAAGACACACCACAATCAATATATCACTGTTGTCGGAAGAAAACCTCATATCTCCAAAATGGTAACTTTTTTTTTGGGCCGTTTCTTTTGGTCCATTTATCATGAAATTTACAGACAATGTAAAGAGTAACAGGTATTTTTAAATTATGTCAAAAACTAAAAAATTACAAAAGTGGAGATACAAGGTTTTCTTCCGACAGCAACGACATGAAGCAAATAATGGTATTTTGTCTGTATCGTGCAGCTCTGACGTAGATGATTGTTCAGGTTTTTTTGCGTCTAAAGCACTGAGACTCCCAGTTATTGTTGTTGTTATGCTGCATATCATTTCTGCAGGAGAAACTTCTTGGAAATTGTTATTTTTCAAAACAACCCCAAAGCGAAAGCCTACAGAAAGAAACTGTCATAATTTTTCAATGCTGAATTCTTCCAAATGCCTCAAGTTTCCACATGTTTACCACTCGACTGCTGCTTCCTCCCACGAGGCTTTGAGTAAACGTAGATAAACTATTTTGTAGAGTGGAAACGTTTGCTCTTAGAGATAACGAAAGGGCATAGCAACAGAAGGTTAAACTGAAAGGTTTACAACCTGGTTTCTTTTCATATTTTTCCTCACTGATTTTTTGTGCTTGTATTTTACAGAGACTGTTGGTCAACTGAATATGTTAATCATTATGGTGATAAATTATGTCACAGTATGCTTTTGTGGGTATACGTTGGGTTAGTAGTGGGTTGTGTACTGGTTCATACTGTTTGAAATTCTTCTTGAGGTACTGGAGTATCATTACAATCCCCTAAATAAGTGCAGCTAACTGGACGTACATGCAGTGCAAACCACTGTAATGTTATCCCATTTAGCTGAGCGGCTGATTCAGGAATGTTTAGTTATGTTTTAAATGAAAGTCCACCGTCTAGTCCGTTGCATCTATGCTAGTCCACTTTGTTCTGATTTGGTCAGATGTCCTTGGGGTTTGTGTGCACAACTAGCCGTAATACTGAACCGTGAATGACTTCAGTATTGTCCAAATTCCAGCAGTGCTCGATAGTCAGAGTGCACGGGACGCATGTACGGGACAAACGATAAATTTGACAGTGCTGAATTCATATCTGAAATTCCCATTCCACCTTAAATGGTAAATAGGACAGCAGTTACGTTCAGGTGTCTATGCAGATGCCAGAATGTAACCGCTGCTCCATTTAAGGTGGAATGGAAAATTAGAACAAAAAAGCTGAATAAGAAGTCATTGTAGAAATTCAGACGTAAAGCAGCATTTAGCACTATTTTGCACTGACATACTGACATACACTCTTAAAAAAAGAAGGTTCTTCAAGGGTTTTTTAGTAAAGAAGATGGTTCCATAAAGAACCATCAATACTCAAAGAACCTCTTGCATGATTTGCAACATGAAAGAGTTCTTCAAACTGATGGAGAATGTGCTGTAGATGGTTTTATATAAAACCTTTTTGAAAAAGCTTGACACTGTAACAATAGCAGAACCTTTTTTGGTGCTCTATACAACCATCTACAACATATTCTCCATCAGTCTGAAAAACCATTTCACCATGCAAAGAACCCTTTAATCATACAAAGGGTTGGGTGTTCATGGGTCTATACAGAACCATTTTCTTTACTAAAGAGCCCTTGAAAAAGTGTAGGTTTATCTAAATATTGGTCAGTTTCATTTTTGTGCACAAAAAACTTCAGATTTATTTTGGTTGTTAAATATCGTTCTTATAAAAAATGAAGGAACATCTCAGAATAATAAGCCACTGTTAACTTATTAAAATAGGTTTGCTTAAGCATCTAAAATGGTTTTACTTAGCGAGGTATACTTTTTGGCCATGCTCTCTACTACTAGGACGAGTATGATCAGTGCTTCTAGACAAGCTTGAGCCAAATCAACACTAATATCGGGATTTACGGATAGACTGCATGTATAGCGTTGATCAGTTTGGACATTTTAAATGTTGGAAAACGGTGACAGTGATTGGAAGAGGACAGTAACAGGGGATAATTGTAGTGAACAGTAACAAGGACAGTGGTAGTGGACAGTGAGAGTAGACAGCGATAGTGAAGACAACAGTGGTAGTGGACAATGGTAGTGGAGAGTAAGATTTAGACAGTGATTGTAAAGAGGATAGTAATGGGGGACAATGGTAGACAGTAAAAAGGACAGTGAAGAGGACAGTGATAGTGGACAGTGGTAGCGGACAGTAAGTACAGACAGTGATAGTGAAGAGGACAGTGATAGTGGACAGTGAGAGTTCACAGTGGTACTAAAGAGGACACTAATAGTGGACAGTGGCAGTGGATGGTAACAGTGACAATAAAGAAGACGGTGCTAGTGGACATTGGTAGTGGACAGTGAGTGTTGACAGTGGTAGTGGACAGTAAGAGTACACAGTAATAGTGAACAGCAATACTGAAATATATTAGTGATAGTGGACAATGGTAGCGGACAGTGATGGTAGTAGTGACGAGGGCAGTGATAGTGGACCATGACAGTGATAACAGACGGTAATAGTGAACAGAGATTTAATTATAGCGGGATATACATTCTGTTGTTCTTTACATTGAGTGTAAATTTCATGAATAATGGACCAAAATAAACGGCTCAGATTTACTTGGAAAAAAATCTGGTTCCGTTGACTTACATTAAGAGGAAAGTATGTTTTTTCCTTTTCCTGTAAAGTTATCGTTTTGGAGATACAAGGTTTTGTTTCAACAGCAGCGATATACATACATATATATATATATATATATATATGTATGCCAATCAGCCATAACTTTAGAACTAACTCCTTGTATCTAGAGTCATTGTCCACTTTATCAGCTCTTTGTAGCTCTACAATTACAGACTGTAGTCCATCTGTTTCTCTGCATACTGTGTTCGCTGTTAGCCCCCTTTTACCCTGTTCTTCAGTGGTCAGGACCCCCAAAGGACCACCACAGAGCAGGTACTATTTGGCTGATGTTAGTGTGTGTTGCGCTAGTACAAGTGGATCAGCAGTGCTGCTGGAGGCTTGTAATCCAGTGCCCACCCCATTGATACTGACCCAGGATTGCCAGTAGGCCTGTACTGAGGATGAAGGGACTATGTGAAGTCCATTTTAGCAAAATATATGTTCACTTCTGTCCATAAAATTACAGAAGTAGTAATTTACTCCACAGTTGTTACTGCCAGTCTGTAAAACTACACACATTGCAGATTTGTACTGAGCTCAAATCGCTCATCACCAATCATTTAAACCGCCTCCCCAGGTAGAACCATTCCAGCTCCACCAAAGATTTAACACTAAAACACCTACCTCTGCCCATTATCCAACCCATTGTCTTTTCTGCGCAGGCTCGGCCTCTCAACTTTAAGGACAGGGACGTCTCCATGTCGTCTCACGAGTACCGCTTTCATCTCTTCAGCTCTGTGGAGTACGAGGGTCAGCTGTACATGACCCCTCAGAACTTCATTGAGTCGGTCACCATGAGCCAACCCCGCAGTGAGTAACCACTCTCAGCTCAGCATACTCATCCTCACCTGAAGGCTGCTCTGTAGGCGACCCGGCCCGTCTTCAGTGATAGCAGAGGAGGGAAAAGTTCAGCTCCTCACTGCTGGGGTTACATTTAGGGCATCATATGCCTTCAAAGAGGGGGGCAATTATTTATTATCACCCACCGCTAAAATTCAGTGATATGAAGCTGAAGTCAGATATTCACCAGCTTCTTGTTCGAATCTTCCTGTTCCACCTTAAATGGTGCAGCAGCTACATTCTGGAGCTTGAGGCGTCAGAACTGCTGGACTATTTAAGGTGGAACGGGAACATTAGCTAGCTAGCTACCGAGACATTAGCATGCTATTAGCGATTTTTTATGCTTGTTATAAAGAAAACAACCATAATACACTGAAACGACATTAAACAAAGATAATACAGTGGTTATCGTAACTTTTAACAGAGAAAATTCTCACATTTGTGTGTTTCTCTGGTCGCTCATGCAGCCATCTTGCCGGTTTTTCTTTTTTTCCTCATAACACTCTGTTTGGAGTCTCTGAAAAACCTCTGTTTGGAGGGCCATGTAGCCCCAACACTTAGCTCTACCCCTCTATCTCAACAAAAATTGGGACACCCTACCCCTAGATGTGAACATTCAAAACAGAGGGTCAAGGGCTAAGTGGTAGGGGTAAGGGGTGAAATGGGATTGGGCCAGAGTGTCACCTATTACAGCCTGTAATCCATATAACGTCTCTTTTTCTCTTTTCCTTACCAGATAAAAAACCATGGAGGTCCCTCACGAAACAGGTCTGGTAGAAAATCATTGCTCTTCTTTTTGCTCAAAACATTTCTAACATGTAACACATGTATGTCATGTTTATACGGTAACACATGCAGCTGTTGCGCAAGGTATATTTAAACGTTGCTCGTGCCACAGTTGCTGTGTGTCTCATCTCCATTTTTCTCGGGACAGGAGCTGGAGAAGATCTTGGCTGACACTCCTCCAGTGTGGAAAGGAACATCCAAGCTGTTCCGTAACCTTCGGGAGCGAGGTGGGTTGCTAACATGCTAAAATATCTGCTTTTTATTCATTTTAATGCATTTGTAAGCCTCTACAAATAAATGATACATTCCTTCGTAATACTAATCCAGGTGGATTTTAGCCCCAATTTTGACATTTAATAAATATGCATGTGGGTCATTTTACAGAATAAGTTCAAACTGGGGTCTCTAAGTGGACAAAACATAAAAAAAACAATGAAGTATTCAGACCTTAGATATTTACAAGGATACGCTAAATATATACAAAATCATAATTTACACTTGTTAAAATAACACTTACTTTTTAATGTTTTTAGTGAAGTTGAAAGATTAAGATTTATCATGAATTTGATTAAAAGTTTGAAAAGTTTAAATAAAAGAATTCAGTCCCACATTTTCATGTTGCTACTGAAACACAAAGAGTTTTAGTCTGTAGGCGGGGCCTTATTTTAGCCACGCCTCTGCATTTTAGAGCCGGAAGTGAGGCTGCATCTCTGTCCCTCATGGCCACATGGTGAGCAGTTAGATCCCATTGTGTTGAAGTAAATGCGTATCAAAGTCTAAAAATCAGTGTGAAACATTGTGGAACATTAGAACTCGTCACTACTGAAACACATATATTCTGCAGTTAAGTCAACTTTTTTTGTGTTTTAATGCAAAATATCATGATTTTATGTGTGTACAGCTGTGTTTTATAGTCAAGTACTGTCGACCATTTTTGAGCTAAAATTGTCATTACCGAAACAGTCACTACTGAAACATATGGCAAATCGATTGTTTTATTTTTGACAAAATGAAATGTTCAATCCTTTATTTTAAAAAAATAAACATAATTAAGGTGCAGGGTCATTGAAAGAAAAAGGATTTAAGTCTAAAGTCTGTTGAAAGTCAGTTGAAAGTCGGAAATGTGTTTTCAACTCTTTCAACGGATTTCTGCATAATCCATATATCAGTATTGGCACCAATGGATAAATATGTGTGATAATTTTTAATACAATGGATATCGGCGTACTGAAATTCTCACATTGGTTAATTCTTACTCGCAAGCAAAGTTAGCCTTGTGTCCTTCTCCAGTGTTGGGTCCCACCAGACAGTTTCATATATTTCCATTCACCTAGTTTGTTGGGATATAGGAAAATGTGGGAGAAAATATCAGGTGTAGCAGCTGCAGCATGGCTAGCAACGTTTTCCTCTTTATACTCACCATATATACGAACATTACCTCAGAAATAGATGCGACAATATGTTACTCAAGCTATAAGTCAAGCTAATCTGTCATAGCAACAGAAAATGGCAAATAGAGCCAGCTAGCAACATTAAAACACATCTTATTAGGTTGAATTGGATTTTTGTAAATGTTCTGGAAAGCTTGCTTTACCTCTCGACGCTACGAAAGAACAGATTAGTAGGTGGATAGATTTGTTCAACGTCTGGATGGAAGAAAGTGTGTGGATATCAGTGGCTGCTAGCTTTAGCTCTTCTTAGCTTCATTCTCTGATGTGTGACTGTGGTGAATGAGCCTATAGTTCAGTGCTTTACTACAGTAGTGTGTCCCTCACTCTTCCACAGTCTACTCTGGAAGCTAACAGCTCTCCCACATGCTAACGAAGGAAGAAACTTAGGAAGGACTATGAAATAAATAAATAAAAGCGAGACTATAAGTAAGACCACTGAGAAGAGAGCAGCAATTAAAGCATTTGCTCGTGTGGAGTTTGTTACAGCCCGTGGCAGCCCAGCCAGCTAATTCCCCACGGTGATAATTATACGCTAGCTCCGCTCTGACTGTAACCGCAGCGGGACCGCTAAAAATAAAGCGCCTGAATTCTGCTCTTCTCCGACTCTTCCTCATAACAATTATCCTTTTAAAAGCAGCGCTGTAATTTGGCAGCGGCGCATTATCTCGTTAGTTTAACTGATGTTGAGCCACAGCCTGCGTGAGGATGTGCGAGTGCGGAGCTAGCGCAGCATCTGATTAGCATGCCGGAGCAATGATAGAAATCTGATGCTAATTGGAGCGGGTATGCAAACCGGGAAGGCGCTCATGTGAGGGTCCCTGGAGAGAGGTTTCTAGGGGAAGGCGAACGCTGGGGTGGTTCTGGTGGAAGCAGGGAAAGTTTAACACTTTCTGCACTATGGGCACACCAGACTGACTGGAATGACCAGCTACCATGAAGGCTGTTTGTGATGTAACAGCGCTGTGGTCATCTCTGATGACAGATTACAATCAAACTCTAAAATTTCACTAGGATTTGGAGAAGCAAAAGGGCTGCAGACACTACTTATCATTCATTGTTGAAGATTCAGATGAAGGGAATACAAGTATGTGTGTGTTTAGAAAGACACTATCTCTGGTCTATGTGGATGATATTATCTTGTGATCATATAATAATAGCAAAGAGAGTTCGCTTACTAATCTTTCGCTGTTATCGATTGATTGGTTAATGTCGCTTACTAATCTTTCGCTGTTATCGATTGTGGTTGTCATGATATTATTCTAAACGCCTTATAAAGGCTTCTAGTCCTTGTTATTGACACTGTTTTGTATAATCTAGAACCTACATAATGTGCCACAAGTATTTGGATCATTTTCAGACACAGTCTTCTCCATTGTGGCTGGCACAATGGCAGGATGCTTGGCTAACTTAGTGACTGTTAAGCTTTAGCCTCAAGACTCTCAAGGACCCCATACGTAAAAGGCCATGTTAGCTTGTTATGGCTAATCCAGTAAAGTTCATTTGAAACATTAACCAATAAATATCAATATTATAAATACTAACCCTGCTAAAAAATCTAGCTAAAACCTGGTAGCTGGTTTCAGATTGTCAAAGCTGCTATTTGATGGTCACCCAGCTGGTTAAGCTTGAACAGGCTAGTCAACCCAGCTGGTCGAAAAGCTTGACCAAGCTTAATTTCTGCACGATTCAGTGGCTGAAATGTAAACTAAATCATTCAGAGCCGTTTAATGTAAAAGTTTAATTGTAGAGAAACTTAGAAGCTTGATTTTCTTTACAGTAGTGGTGACAGGAACCTGTGGGCTGTGGTGCCTACGACATAAATATGTAAATACAATGTTTTATTTAGCATCCAAAGCCAACAGTGAAGATAAGCACCCTTTCTGAGTATGTATTGTTGATAATGGCAAAAATGTGGTAAATCTGAAAAAATACGTTTTAGTTGGGGGGCTATATTACCTTACAGCGTCCCTGCGTGTACCCTTCCGCCATTAAGATATTTTTAAAAATTGTGTTTTAGGCCAAAATCTTCTCAAAACCATTATAAAACAATGATTCTTGCATTAAAAAAATGTATTCGGAACATTTTTTTGTAGTAGCTTTCTGTAAGAGACGCATTAAATGCTTCAGACATCTGGTTCCTATCATTACCACTGCGAACAATTATGAATCATTACGTTTCTCCAGAACGGAGCATTTCACATCAAACCACTCCAACTGACTTTGCATCTTAACCAGTAAATTATGCAGGAAGTTTCGAAAATCAGTGATATTCCCCTTTAAATGAAAACATACAATATGAGAGTCAACCAAGCTTTTTCTTCAGCATGGAATTATATTTCATTTCTATTAAGACCTTGCAGAACTCTGGTCTAGGATAAGAGCAGATAATTACAGATAATTGACCAAGGGTTATCTGACCATGGGGATCACGCTATGGCATTTTAGGCTTACCTCGCTCTAAAAAGGTCTTGACTACATGAAAAGAGCATAGTGTATGATCATATGTGTGTGTGATTGTGTCTGGAATGCTTTCCTCATCTGCTTGACGTACAAAAGCATGTGAGGCCTTTCCTTTATTTGACTACCTGGTGGATCATTCAAATAAAGCATCATTTTAGAAATGATGAATGGTTTTGTCATGCAAAACAAAGATGTTAGAGCCATCAGGTAGAGCCGGTTCTCCTCAGTAGGAAACTATCTATCTGTCACTGTTCCGCCTGTAGAATCGCGGAATGTACGGAACGCAGTGCCCATTTAAAATCTGCTAGAAGCAGAGGTGTGAACTCAAGTCATGTGAGTTGGACTTGACTCAGACTTGAGTCACGAGTTTGATGACTTGAGACTCGACTCGACAAAATCTTAAAAAACTTGCAACTCGACTTTGACTTGAACACCAATGACTCCGACTTGGACTTGAACACCAGTGACTCCGACTTGGACTTGAACACCAATGACTCCGACTTGGACTTGAACACCATTGACTCTGACTTGGACTTGAACACCAATGACTCCGACTTGGACTTGAACACCAATGACTCCGTCTTGGACTTGAACACCAATGACTCCGACTTGGACTTGAACACCAGTGACTCTGACTTGGACTTGAACACCAATGACTCCGACTTGGACTTAAACACCAATGACTCGACTGGACTCACCAGACTTCGGACTTGAACACCAGTGACTCCGACTTGGACTTGAACACCAGTGACTCCGACTTGGACTTGAACACCAGTGACTCCGACTTGGACTTGAACACCAATGACTCTGTCTTGGACTTGAACACCAGTGACTCCGACTTGGACTTGAACACCAATGACTCCGACTTGGACTTGAACACCAATGACTCCAACTTGGACTTGAACAACAATGACTCCGTCTTGGACTTGAACACCAGTGACTCTGACTTGGACTTGAACATCAATGACTCTGACTTGGACTTGAACATCAATGACTCCGTCTTGGACTTGAACACCAATGACTCCGACTTGGACTTGAACACCAATGACTCTGTCTTGGACTTGAACACCAGTGACTCCGACTTGGACTTGAACACCAATGACTCCGACTTGGACTTAAACACCAATGACTCCGACTTGGACTTGAACACCAATTACTCCGTCTTGGACTTGAACACCAGTGACTCCGACTTGGACTTGAACACCAATGACTCCGACTTGGACTTGAACACCAATGACTCCAACTTGGACTTGAACAACAATGACTCTGTCTTGGACTTGAACACCAATGACTCCGACTTGGACTTGAACACCAAT